TGAATGAAATTGATTCGTAATCTCAATAAAAATTTCCATAATCTTCACGAAAGGAAAGAACTATAGTTACTTGGCAGTATTAGAAATAAGTTTTATTTTGATTGTATTAAAACAGTATGTATACTATCATATACTCCATACATACAAAAGTATCATTTGTCACCTGACTATTCTATCATAACTAGACAAATGCAACATTTGAGATATTTGATATAAAAATTGTATAGGATAACAAAGATCTAAAAATAACTTAATAATCACCGCATTTCAGAAGAGTCAATTTGGCTTCGATATAAATTCAGTTTAGTTTTGCTATAATACATAGAAGCAACTGAATTTTTGAAAAGTAAAGAGCATAAGTATTAGATAATACATAAGACATAATGGGATAGATGGTATATTTATAACGTTATATAAAATTGAACATCAATAATTTACTGTAGATAAAACAAATCAACAAATACATTATAGATATTTACTTTGGAAGCGGCCTCTTGACAAATTAATCTCATCCGAACTACAAGCAAAGACTACATAGCACTGGAGAACATTTACATTTATTCTGTTGCTATTCAATATAATGGCATTCAGACCAAGCAATCAATAAGTACTGTTGTGTTAGGAAACAATGAAGTTTTGAGTTTGAAAACTATCTCAGTCTAAGATCTATCATGTTTACTTCTTCAAACATTTAATTAAGGATGTAATTCTTTATTATCTTATTCAACCGTTTGGTTGGAATTACATCTTTTAGTTTTAAATCTAACTGTACATTTCTATGGTGGTCTTATACTATTTACAATAATCTAATATAAATCTCAATAGTTGAAACCATAAGTCAATTGAAACTAGACCACCATGGGGAACCTGGAAGCACTGGATGAGTCCCATACTAGAACGAAACGGCCGTCCAGTGCTTGCAGATTTTCCATGGTGGTCTAGCTTCAATCGACTCATGATTTCAATTAGTGAAATTACTAAAATCTGCACAAAACCCCTTCTGGGAATCTAATATAACTTGTATCCTATAAATGAATAAATTAGAGTAAGGTTATCATATCAATAATGATTATCAATAAAAAGCTCACTTTAGTTGCATTTGGATATGAAGTTATAACTTGCCATAAATTATTATTATTAGTACTTTGTGTTTCTATTAGTAGTGAAGACGAAAATATAAAGTATATGAGAGAGAAGTAGTTTTTCAACATTATATCCATAAAATCCATTGATATTTTCATCATTCAAGTGTTAAGTAATACAATATTGTTGATAAGATGAAATTATATACATACATTTTAAGGGTGACATCAAATGCATTTCAGACACTTTATATATGTATTCATTTAAACAACTGAAAATCAATCATTGAAAACTGGTAAACTATACTATTTCATATGAATAATTGTGATACATATAATATTTATTTGCTTATATGAATTGTCTGACCATTATTTAGTTATTTCAGTGTAAACAATGTTTACCCAGTTCGAGATCAAACGTACAATTTTATGTAAATTTTTAGCGTGATGATATGAAGGGTGAAAATAAGGTGAATGAGATAGATACACTTAAACAGTGAATCATACATAGAAATGCGAATCACAAGTATACACTACTGTGAACTATGGACGAATGAGGATAAATGTTATATTTCAACACTGGTTTGACATATATCAATTGTGTCATGATTTAGGTTTAATCATAGAATAATCTGAAAATATTTCATGCCATACAGTAATCAGTTTAATTAATATAGATGTTTTCGTGTTGACTACTTTAAGAGCCAATTTGAAATCAAATTTCAAACTCTTGAAAACATCATCTCGCAATGAAAAAACTGTTTCTCACCTTAAAAAGTTTTGTAGTATAGTGTTGTAAATATTCGAACTTTCACTTGATGAGCATCTTTTTAAAAAGCTGAAACATATCACCAGATTTATTTGGATTATAATCACAATGAATTCTCATTATACATTATGTGACTTAGTAACCTTTGACCATTTGAGCCATGTTTTTATCCTAAGTAGCTAATTGTTTATAAAGAAACCCTTTACACATAACTATAATACTGAACTATGACACTCAAGAATAGGAAGTTCAGTCAAATGTATTCAATATTTTGAAAAAAACTTCTCTAACCGTTTATCTCAGTTTAAATTTATTGATAACAATTGACAAGATGAGATTAGACAAATATGAAGCTTCTTTACTTAGAGAGATTCAAAATACATTATTTAGGTGACTAAGTAAGCAATCTTTTAAGGACAGTAACACACTGAGATGTAAAAATTGAGAATATTTATATTTTAGCTTGAAGTAATTAATTTTCTTAACCTTACAATTAATAAGCTACTGGTTAGAAAATAATAAGTACTTATTTAGTCATTCAGTACAAAACTGACTAGAAGTCCAAGTAACTTATTCGATAACATAAGTCAAAGGGAAGTTTCTAAATAAGATGTGTTAAATGAATGATACATGTCATAACTGACTACAGAACATACCACCAAACTATGTAGTAGTCAGTATTTAATTTTCTCATGTTTTTGTCCAATAATCTACGGTATGGATTTAGTAAGAATCTTCCACATGGAGACAATTAACCTACGTTTGGATAAAAAAACTATATTCTGTGACACTACTATTGGACACTAGAATCATCGATGAACACGGTGGTTCTGATGCAGATGTGAAGGCGCGGATCGGTAAAGAAAGAGCAGCATATTTACAACTGAAGAACATCTGGAAATCAAAACAACTGTCAACCAACACCAAGGTCAGAATTTCCAATACAAATGTCAAGATAGTTCTACTGTTTGGGGCGGAAACTTGGAGAACCATAAAGCCAGCATCCACAAGATACAGGTGTTTATTGACAGTTGCCTACGCAAAATACTTCGGATCCGTTGGCCAGACACTATCAACAACAACCTACTGTGGGAGAGAATAAACCAGATCCCAGTGAAGGAAGAAATGAGGAAGGAGTGCTGGAAGTGGATAGGACACACATTGAGGAAGGCACACAACTGCGTCACAAAGCAAGTTCGCACTTGGAATCTTCAAGGCAAAAGGAGTAGATGAAGACCAAGGAGCATAATACACAGGGAAATAGAGACAGACATGAGAAGAATGAATAACAATTGGATAGAACTAGAAAGGAAGGCCCAGGACAGAGCGGGTTAGAGAATGGTGGTCGGCGGTCTATGTTCCATTGGGAGTAACAGGTTTAAGTATGTAAAGTAAGTAACTATTAGACACTAGACATTATTATACCTTTAGTCCATATTTTAAAAGCCCATAGTTCCTAAGATAGCCACATAGAACAAATATTCCATCGTAGAAATGTCTGGAATTTGAACATTGGTATCAATAATATATCTTATCGTTATCTTTCACTATTTATATCGATTATTTTTATTGATACTTGAATATCGTACTGCATTCAATGTTTACCGTATCTTAATCAGTTGATCTAATTGGTACTGAATAAATTATATAGGTAGATAAAGAAATATGGCCTTTAAATGTTAACGCAAAGTAATCAGTATTTCCTATTTTTCACTGATTATCAGTAAAATATATTTCAATAACTAATAACTATTTGTCATTTAACCATCTCTATGCTTTATGTATAAAGATTTTTCATAATACATTTACTTTGAATGCATCAAGGTTAAATACTGCGTCAATTATTTATAAGGGTTTATATTTTTCCTACTGCTGATCTTAAGGACTACAACCGACCATTCAAAGTTTTAATCTGAGTAGTATTACTGTCACCATTGGGATGTAGGCATATCCAACTGACGAGTTCGATGTAGGAAAAGGCACGCATTCTGTATTCCACTGCTAACTACAGGAAAAAGTGTATCCGTTATTCTTGTTAACAAATAAACCGATCTCTGCAACTAAAAAATTTACTTTTATTTGTATATCAAGTATTTGTAGGTTCCATCTAAGGTAATTTAAATTAATAATAATTTTGGCACCATAATATTAATACTATGCAACATTTCCATATCAATGAATAAAATTTTAAGTTAACTGATTTGCCTAGTAACGTAAATAATAAATGATTATGCCTGGTTAAATAATAGAATACTGGTATTAATTATTCTCTTCAAAGAGTTTCTATTGTTGTGATTCACTGTGGAGATAATTATTTCTGAAAACGAATTAAAAACGATGCAGAAAAAGACTGGAGTTTTTGATTCATATAAATATCATGACTGAAATGTTAGTGTTATTTTATGTAATTTGTAATGGTTTGGGTTATCTCGTTATTTATATTTTGACTGAACATTTGATCAGTCTTAGTCGATATATATGCATCTTGTACGGATAGCTGATGAGTCCGGAATGGGACAAGATGAGCATTCTGGATTCCATTGTTAACCACACTTCATCTATTCTGTATAATGTTAATAATCAGATTAGATGGTGGTTGGAGGTAGTCGACAAGAAACCCTGGACCCGGGTTTCGTGCGACTTGGCACTCGTCAGCAAGGTGTACCTATAATCTTTGAGGGAGCTGGTGCTCCCTGATGGATTCGATCCCGTGTCACCCAGCTTCACAGTCAGAGACGTTACCACTGATCTATCCGGGCCGCGACCGACCTCCTGTAGGACTGAGATGTAATCACAATTGATGGATCACAACCCAGTGATCAATCAATTGTATTGTTAATAATCAATTAGAATAACCAGTAGTAAACGCAATTTTGATATGTTATCAACCGATGTTCACTTACAATCAAATAATTTATTGTTCTCAATTAAGTAATTATTGATACTTTATGAATAAGATACTTCGTTGTTTACAGAGGTCAAATTATTACTTTTTCACTCACTCAATTACATACATACACAAGTACTTTCTTAATAGAATACTTTGATGATTGGTCACTTTTAGATAAGATAATTAAAGAAATCAATTAAATAAATTGATTGAAATAGTTTTATGATAGAATACTTTAAATGAAAGATAATATTAGGTAAAGGGAGGAAATGATATATTTACATTGATCTGACAAATTTCCTTCACTGATTTAACAAACATTTTGTTTGTTTTTTAATTTACAATCAATAATCGATTAAACCATTTGTTTTGTCTTTTAAATAATAAATACTAAAGCAAATAGTGATATCACAAATAAATAAAAAAAAACAGATAACTTATTGTTTATTACAGGATCTGGATAACTCTAAAAAATCTATTCTTGTTCAAATGATGAATTCTACAAGATTAAAAAATGATATGAAAAATGGTGAATTAATAATAACGAATTTAATTAATTTCGATGTAAAAAATAAGTAAGTTTATTTTAATCTCATGTTTTTTTTTTCAAAAAAAGATTATTATCAAAATCAATAATCATTAAAATCAATAATAGAGATATAGGATCAGTTGATAATATTATGAACTGTGGATCAATAAAGATGAATTAGGTACATGTTATACAAATCTATCAATATCTATGTAGTTTAATAATTTTAGTTGTTTTGTAGTGAACAATAGCACGAGTGTAAGCAATCGAATGTTTTTGATAGTTTTTTTCTCGGAGCTGGATGGCTTGATCGTGACGCTTTCATCGTTCTTCTGAACGACACCATTAGCACAAAGTTCAGATAGAAGTGAAGTGTTCGAATTTCTCCATATGCGTTTCACAGTTTGTTCTGTACACCTCAATAAGAACCAACCAACATCGAGATGTTGGTTGGTTTGTGCTGATGATGTTGTTCAGAAGAACGATGAAAGCTCCACGATCAAACCGTCCAGTTCAGAGAACAAAACTCCATCAAAATCATCCATCTGAGCCACAAATCTCCACCATCTCACAATCGAATGTATTTGACACGAAATTACAAAGCATCTCAATAAAATCTGAGAACCATATAGTAAATAGTTAATTTACAACATATCAATTCATCGTCTCAAGCTTCACTGTTTCTTTTGTAAATATCAGTCGATTGTCTCAGATTTCATTGTTCATACATTTTTGTACCAATTGCGTTACATTCCCGTTCTTTCCTAACCGATTTTCTACTAAAATACATTCTATGCCTGACCACCGTTAAATACTATTTATATGAATATAAGTAACCCACACCACAGTTTTAATAGTATGCTCCAAAAGAAATAAGTGTAGCTATATCAATGTATCAGTTTAGTTTATAAGTTTTTATTTTGTTAGTCCAAATGGAGTAAAAAGCGTCAATTTTTACGTTGTGATCTTCAAGACATGTATTATTACTATTCGGATATTTTAAATCAGATGCTAAGCAATAATATATTCCATAACCTTTTAGTCAGTTGAAAAGTTAATTTAATAAACATCTCATCCCATCAATTAAGAAATGTTGTTAAAAAACTTACCTATAAATCCTATTTACATCCAAATTAACGTTACAACAAGGTTTGTATAAAAACTCATAGAATATAATCTGTAATTATTGTTAGTCATAGGGGAAATTCATTCTTTTAAAAAATGTATTCGACTGCATCCAAATTAAGATAAACCATAGATTAATTTTTACCATCGTTTTTAAACCTACTCGTAGTCAGTCAGTCAGCTACAACGCAAGACCAGGCACATATATGCATTGGTCCAAGTTGCCATACCTCATTAGCACAACAAGATGAACGCTAAATTCATAGAAGTAGTTACTTCAATGGTAGTAATATATAAAAGAAAGATTGTTCATAAGGAAATAGTAAAGGAAGAAAGAATTAGTTGGTAGAAAGAAAGATATAAAGCAATTTTAAATTCGCAGTTTAAGCGAAAACAAAGACTGTATGCAAAGAGAGTATATTCCACTTCACTCTCTATCCTTAGTCAACACATGAACTAACGATAGGGAGTGAAGTAGCCGAATGCATTGACAACTTCGCTTATCTCGGAAGTCTGATCATCCGTAATGGGTTGGTGTCTGACGAAATCGCTGCACGAATTCAGAAAGCTCGTTCAGCTTTCGCCAACTTACGTCACCTATGGCAAAGGTGAGATATTCGTCTATCAATATACTGCGTAGCAGTTTTTTCTATTCTACTTTGCGACTGCGAAACGTGACCATTAAGAGCAAGAGATACTCATAGAGTGTAATCTGTAATTATTGTTAGTCACATGGGAAATTCAATCTTTTAGAAAATCTTTTCAAATGTGACCGTGTTAGGATAAACCATAGATTATTTTATATTCGCTAAAAAATTCCCATTATAATAAAACACAATTAATATGAACGAAGAATGTTCTTTTCAATGAATTGCTCATCATGCTCTACAGTTGTAAGGCCAAATTAATAATCCATAAAATTGGCCAGATTTAAGGCAGAATACATCATTTGGAAATTGTAATATGTGATTCAAGAATTGTTTGTCATATAACATCAAATCAAGTCGTTAATGTTGGGATGACCAATATGAAGTCATTGACTTGAATCAGCTTATAAGTGAAATGAAATTGTGAGATAAATGATCAGAATAAATATGGTCATCTTCCATTACCAATAGAGGACAACGGTTCTACATATGACACAATTAAACTACGCTAATGATGATTTTTTTCACTAGAACACCTAGAATTGAGCCTCAAAGTTTGTGTTCGTTGAGCATAGGATTATTATTAGACTGAAGAGTTTGTGGAGATCGTCATGTTTTCACAGATTACATCAAGGAATGCCCACTTTTGAGCAGTCTCACACTAGAACAAGAAATCTGTACAATGTTGTAGTTCTATGCAAACCCGCATAGCTTATTCTGGCTTCAGGATAGGCTAATTTATTTATTCTTCTCGAGCCATATTTTAATCTCGTTAACTATTCGCTTATTAACCCTGACTATTTTAATATGATTGTACGTATGTGCACTTCTTATCCCATTTATCTCATGTCTGTAACTTATTTTGTTCCAGTATAAATATTGATTCACGCTTGGATAAATAAATTTGGCTCACTAGCCTTTTCCATTTCGCTTAGCACTCCGATCAACGATTGTACGAAATATACGTATTCAAAAATCTATTCTCTTATTTGACTTATTTAATTCCGTTATTCACTAAGGCGATTTAGGTCGATGATTATATACCGGGGTTGGCGAAATGTGTATTTCAATAACAATCAGCAAACGACCCAACTAGAGCCAGATATAGGGCCACAAAAGTGCTTCCAGATTTTTGACGCTTGTTCAACTAAGATCAATCAGTGATGTATTCTATGAAAATCCAATTGTCTGTTCAAACCTCGTATACTAATTACTCATCAGTCAATATATGTTACACTGAATTGTTTTGATATATAGTATTTATGTAAGAGTAGAATTAGAATGTAGTATTAAATAGAATCCTGGGTTTCAGTCCCGCGTGCGAGATTGTAGATACGCACTGCTGAGGATTTTCATACTAAAACGAGACGACCGTCTAGTTCTTCCAGGTTTTCAACGATGGTATAATATTCATCGATTCATAATCTCATTCAAAAACTCGACAATCTTCACAATCCTATACCGTTAATTAAAAGTATCAAAGAAACGAAGAATCTGAATTGAGAATCTTTGTTATATCAGTGCCTAGATCATAATGTTTCCACCTACATGAGAAATTCAGATATTCATTGAGAAAACGTAAAATTATATACAATATTATTATTATTATCCAGCGTTGCTACAGCTAGTAATTGAAACTAATAATTTTAAATATTAATATAACAAAAATCAACCTATTTAATTAGGATAAGTATAAATTTTGATTTACCTTAACTCACTATTTCATATAATAATTTTTGAATATTTTAGAAGTTGCCCTCTTAAACAAAATGTACCAGTTAAAAGGATTGGTGGTCTTTTCCTATCAGATCACGGTGTTAAAGTTGAAATTCCACCATATGCATCTAATGGACGTCGTGAACGAGTTCTTTGTGCAACATTTCCAAGCACAGCCAGAGGAGTTATAGGACCTTGGTTAGGTTCAGATATGCGAATAGCAAGTGAAGTACATATGTTATATTCGCCTGTCAGATTCAAAATGCCAGTTGCTGTATTTATCCCTTTCTCTTTTGCTGCTACTCGTGAAATGTATCATCCATCCGGACCCATTAATATACCATTTGAAAGCGTAAAAAGACCTGATTCTAAAAGTTTATGTAAGCTAAAATAAAATATTACCCAAAATCTAAAATTTCATTACTTACATCTACAAAATAACCTATAATTGCTCTTTCAGTAATTCATCCAAGTATTTCTACTATTTCATTACTTTCTAAATGATTTGAAATAGTTTATGTCTTACAACATTTCATCTAAATAAAAATAAGCTAATAAACATTTATGGCTTAATTTCATTAAAATGATGATCAGATATAAGTTAGATTTATGATTTATGAAGTATGAATACTCATTGCATCAGATAGTAATTTGATGATTAGCTGTTCTTAAAGGTGAATTTCCGAATTATAAGCATGACATTATTTATTGTATATGCATATCACAATTTATTGATTTAACTGACAGGTAAGATAACACCTAGTCAATTGAAATAGTACATCAGTTCCAGTTACACAAAACAAAAATCAACAGGAGTAGAAGACGATATTTAATTGAATGAGAATTAAGAACACAATTGAGTATAAAATAACTAATACTGAATCCTGGAATGTCAAAGATTTATATAAAAATAGTTAAAACGATATGCACTATGTTTTGACTTTTACCAGACTAATTATCACATGAACTACTCACCAACCAGAATATGACCTGTACAGTCTTAGTACTGTGCCACAACAGTGAGGTATCGACCGGTATGTGCAGCCCAGAGTCCTTATTGGTCCTTTTTCCGCCTAGCCCTGCCTGTTGGGTCCAGAACACCAACATCAGCTTCCACTATACGAATAATGTATTTCAAACATGCTTTCTTTACATACAAACAAACAAACAAACCAGACCATATCACACCATAAAATAAAAAATAACAATTGTAAAAGACCAAGCCCGAAAGTGGCTGTAATTGTGAGGAACTGCAATTAATAAATTGGGTATAACTTAAGAATAGTAAGTCGTATAATCATAGACCATAGATCAAAATAAGGCTTACGATAAAAGGAGCATAAATATACATAATCTAGGTACTCAATAGTAAGTAATACAATAAGAATATACGTATAATATTAGTCCATTAATAGCTCTAAGAACGTACACATAATTTAATCTTCTAAATTTTGAATATATATTACTTATTCTCACTATTTCATTGTAGTGCATAATGGTATTCAATCTAATAAAACTTCAGCTAGACTAAGAGGAAAACCACCATACTCAATGTATTTTGGGGATCATCTTTCAACAGCACCCAGTTTAATTAATGCTAAAAGTGTTTCACTACTACAATGCCGTCTTGGAGATGATTGCTGGCATGTAGTGAAAGAATTTACGGTAAATGATATTTTTAGTTTAACTGATGATGAATATTATTTTATAATAAAACCGAAAAATGACTACATAAAATCAGTAATTAGTTCATCTCTGGAGTACTTAAAGTACTGATATTGTACTTTTATACTTTTAATAGGAATTGTGATTTGAACTGCCTTCTTAAGATGACAGGCATGTTTACTTCATTAAACTCGTCGCTGAAATTATAAATAAATCACAGACTTTGTGCATGGGTTTAAGATTTATAGGAGAAAGATTTAAAATGAATAGCAAATAAAATTAATACCAATAATGTCCGTTCTCTGTCACATTTAATGATTATAAACTCATTTGTTCTTAGAGGAAGAAAATTCTAGTAAAAGTCGAGGCTGGTTACAAAATGCAAATAGACATATGAAAATCAGACCTTAAAGAGGGAATATTACCTATGTTCTGAACAAGATACTTCACATGAATATGTGTATATGAAGAAACATGGATATTGATTTTTCGAAAATAAGATTTTTGATCGTTAAAGAGCGATACTAATAATAACAATCACCTAATTATTTTGATATACGCGAATGAATTCAGAATTCCCATGTGATATGTAACATGAATTAACATAGAATACATGACTGAAGTTCAAAACAGATATGCATTAACAAATTGTTAGATTAATTAGTTTCTCCACTTATCTATATTGTTTACAGTACAGATCACTAAGGAATAAGAAAAACCAGGATTTAGTTCACAGCATTACGTTGCATTTTATGTTAGAAATACTACCCAGAGTTCATTAACAGTTGACATGAAGAAGTGAGATGATTACTGACGTATTTTACGATATGTACTAGTGCATAAAATACAAGAACGATATTTTTCATATCTCAAGCGACTATATGAACAGTATCATATTTAAGTTTGAGGTCTTTGGTACCACAAATAAATCGATTGGTGAGTTTCACGAATTTGTCTAGTCCGAATCAGTCAGGTTACATTATATATTTATATTACTTCAATGAGAGGTAGTGCTTAAAGTAAGAGAAGATTGTAACTAATTGTTGGATTAAGAAGAAAAACATAATTTTGATTCTTAAAAACTGTTAGATAACATAAAATCATTGACTTGTTTTAAACTAACATAAACCATAATTGACAGAGGTATGTTTTTTTTCTTTCCCGTATTCGACCATTTGTTCAGTTCATCATTCAGTTTTTTTATCAATACACTTGTCGATTAACCGTCTTTACCACTTTATAACATGACAAGCTGAACTAATTTCATTACAACCTAGAACTCTGAGTTGTTTATATAACTGATAATGATATTTAAGAGTTATTAATTACTTAGATTGAAATTGAAGATTTATAAGTTATTTCTTTGATGCAAGAAATATATTATTTTACTATTCTTAGATTGTTCAACCAACAATTCCTTATGTCGACTGGCCATTAGAAGCTTATGAATTAACATTACAAACAAGTCGATGGTCAGTAAACAATACTGCTTCAGAGAATTTATCTTCACTTTCAATAAAACTGGGACAATTATTATTAAAGAAAAGTAATTTGGACAATATTAGAGTTAAACAAAATTATAATAGATCAGAAGATATAAACTTACCGTATGATTTTGCGAATAAAATCGAATATTATTGTGGTGGTGTTTTCATTCACACAGAAGAATTAAATCATTGTTACATGCTGGTGAACTCAACCAAAGCAGAACAATTTTATATCAATCCTAATGGTGGATTATTTTTATCTCCATTACTTGATCCGTTCTTATCTGTACGTATACCAAAACGCGTCTGTCCTACTTTTGAACAAACTATTTTCAAAGTGAGTATTTCACTTGAACTTTAACTTTTCAATAATACTGTACATGATAACATAAAACCATTCTAATAAAAATGAAGTGGGAGAATGGTTACATCTGGGAGAAAATTTATTCTCAACAGGATTCCTTTTTGGTTCCTTTTATTTTAAGATTTATATGTTTAGATGGATGAAAATTCCAGATTCTTTAGATTTAATAGTAATACTATGTATTTTACAGCTCAGTATTCAAATGAATCATGTATCAATACATAAACAGACTTAAACTAGTATCTAAAATCTACTTTAATAAAATGATAATTTCTCAGGCAGACAAATAGAAACAAAGTGGATAATGGTATAAATGGATATTGCTTAATGTTCTCATAACCCTTTCTTCTTCGTCTGTATGAATAAGATTATAATAAGAACTAAATTGACTAAATGTCATTGTAAACTTAATTATTCACTTTGAATTTTTTTACTACAATCATGAGAACTAAAAATGATAAATGTAACAAGTGTTTATAGAAACGACGTATAAATACAGTTACTGTCATACTAAAAGATGCTGGACATAAAAAGGTGGATTTCGAAAAAAGTTGGTAAAACAATACGAAGGCAATATTCACCGTAATTTAACTGAGATTTATAATTACTTACTAACTTTCTTACTTAAACCTGTTACTCCCAATGGAACATAGACCGCCGACCACCATTCTCTAACCCACTCTGTCCTGGGCCTTCCTTTCTAGTTCTATCCAATTGTTATTCATTCTTCTCATGTCTGTCTCTATTTCCCTGTGTATTATGCTCCTTGGTCTTCATCTACTCCTTTTGCCTTGAAGATTCCAAGTGCGAACTTGCCTTGTGACGCAGTTGTGTGCCTTCCTCAATGTGTGTCCTATCCACTTCCAGCACTCCTTCCTCATTTCTTCCTTCACTGGGATCTGGTTTATTCTCTCCCACAGTAGGTTGTTGTTGATAGTGTCTGGCCAACGGATCCGAAGTATTTTGCGTAGGCAACTGTCAATAAACACCTGTATCTTGTGGATGCTGGCTTTATGGTTCTCCAAGTTTCCGCCCCAAACAGTAGAACTATCTTGACATTTGTATTGGAAATTCTGACCTTGGTGTTGGTTGACAGTTGTTTTGATTTCCAGATGTTCTTCAGTTGTAAATATGCTGCTCTTTCTTTACCGATCCGCGCCTTCACATCTGCATCAGAACCACCGTGTTCATCGATGATACTGCCTGGATATGTAAAGGTTTTTACTGTTATGCTTTACAATCAGACATCAATTAAATAACCAATGGAAACTAGAAAGTAGTGGATAACTCTTATATTGTACACCTCAGCCCCACATTGATGTGAATCTAAGATAGGATTAATAACCTCCCTTTCTAAATTCAGTCATTCATTTCAAGCCTAAAGAATTAATCACAATATGGTCACTGCAAAACGCGAAGGTCACGAGCTCGGTTTGTGAAACTCCACTTCTGTAACACCTCCGAGTGTGTGGAAATAATTGTCAATCGTTTTCATAGTCAGTTCATAACAAAAATATATCTTCAACTCTAAAAACTTTCAAGAATCGCCCAGAAAAATAATTTACTATTAATTATAGTTTATCGTATTCATTATTTTAGGCAAATGTAAATCATTTTTTTTATGGACTTCCAATGTTCTAGATTCTCATTTCATTTTCTTTTTTCCGATTCACATTGTGTTATATGTAACTTCAAAGAAAATAGAAATAAGAAATACTTGGTTGAATTCAGCATGTCAATTTGATTCTCAACTCAATGAAATTGAAGGTTGTTCTGACATTTTTGAATTTCAGTTACAAGATACAGTGTTAAAAAGACCTGCAACAATACACTTACCGTTACCTCAGTGGTACATTGATAAATTTAACAAATCATTAAATTCTTTGGCACAAACTAATATAATTGTAAATGGAATTGAAATGGATAGTTTACCAGAAGTACCTGTTTATCATGTAAAAAATACAAATGTAACATTATCTACTGATGATAGGAGATTAGTTATTCTGTTTCAAGTATGTCTCCTCAAATTTCTATTCGTATATTTTTTAAAAATCTTCGATGTTACTAGAAGGCAGAAGATAAGATTCATCAATTAGCTAGAGTTTTACTAGAAATATACTAAAAACTAAAGATAATACTTATTAAAAGTTCACGTAGTTTATAAACTTGGATTATGTTAAGTTTATTGATTCATCCGAAGATATCCCAAGTGAATAGTTAAAGATTATTCATGAAGTCATCAAGCAAACAGTGCTAAAGGTGACAAATAATAGAATGAATAGAAAGATAAATTTCGCAGTATATTTTCTAGTCACCTTATACAACAACATAAGAACTTATTATAGAATGTATAAGTAGTTAGAAACTTTGTGGACATCCGTTAATATTCATAATTGGTTGGTCATTGGGTGGTGATCAATGTCATGTGTGTCAAGTCCTTCTTAGTGCAGATCGAATGCTATCTACCAAGTTGCAATGTGGCCACCAGTCTAGGTGACTCAGCACTGAGGCTCGGATAGCTCAGTGGTAACGTCCCTGGATGTGAAACTGGGTGACACGGGATCAAATCCGTCAGGAAGCATCAGTTCCTTCAAGATTACAGGTACACCTTTCTGACGAGTGCCAGGTAGCACGAAACCCGGGTCCGGGGTTTCCTGTTGATTACTTCTAACCACCATTATATCCGTTAATACTGTTTATTATATATTTGATAGCTTGTCTTATTCGTATTTGTATTATACACTTGATCATTTGGTATGTTTACATTTAGAGAAGTTTTTTGAACGTATGAATTCCTGCATTAAAGCATAACCTAAATCTATGAAATTACTAACTACATGTATAAAATATGTTTCAAAACAGTGTTCGTTTGAACAGGTAATAAACTTAAAAAAATCAATAATAGCGGGTTTGAAATATCATATCTTAGCACACAATTATCTATTACTGCATCCTCTTAGTGAAAACTTTATAATTATAAGTCTATATTTCCTGTTTAATGTAGTTTCGTTCCATGTACCTTTTTGTTAATACTTCTGATCACTTCGTTAAACCTCTAAATCCCTTACATTTCAACTAAACCAATATCGCAAATAATTTTCCTATTTCAGATTACTTTTTTACTCACTAATAATTTTTATTAATTGTATAATATACTCATGCTTCCAGGTTTTCCATGGTGATCTAGTTTCAATTGACACATGATCTCAACTATTAAAATTACTGTAATATTCACCAAAAACTCCTGATATTAATCAACATATGCTCACTAGTGACTAGCTTCAAGAGGTATTTCCTGGAGTTCTTCTAGTGAGAAGCATTGAACAATGGAGTTCAGCCGGGTCTGTTGTGAGATAGTAACTCCCTAAAGACAATCGTGGATTAGTTGTAGCTAGACAACACCATTGTATGCCGGCTCAGTGGTGTAGTGTTTAGACGTTCGCGCGCAAGACCGACTGGGTTTGAGTCTCGCGAGGCGGGATCGTGTATGCACACTGCTGAGAAGTCCCACAATAGGATGATATGGTCGTTCATTACTTCCAGGTTTTCCATAGCGGTCTAGTTTCAATTGACACGTGATCTGAACTATTAAAAATTACTATGATATCCACAAAAAACCCTTTCTGATATTCATGCAATTTTATTAACATCTCAAAATTATTCATTATGTTTAATGTTAAGAAATTGGAACAAAACTATATCATTTTGTATATTTTTTTGTCTGATTTGTCATGCGGGAGAAGCTAGATAAACTTAAGTTTACTTTATAATATTTTCAATCTTAATCCATTCATAATATTATCAGATCATCCAAAACCATCAATATGAGGTCACTCTGAATTCAACTTTTAACTGTACAGGTCATATATGCCTAACACAAAAGTCCATATTAGTTTCGGTTTGGAAAGGACAGGAGGCTTGATGGCCTATGTTAGTCTTGGCAATGATGGCCTCTGAGTTGATCCAACTTTCATTTGAAAGAGTCAACGGATGGAGCCTCAACCACGTGCAGAGGTAATGAATTCCACTCTTCGATGATTCGATGGGAAAGTCAATAGTCAGCTGACAAATAATTTTTTCTGGGCTTGTGAATTTTTCTGGAGTGTCCTCGTAAATCCTCTGTTTTGAAAGACAAGAAAAATGAGGACATATCAGGTGCAAACTTATTACTAAGCAATTTGAAAACTGTAATCATGTCGCCTCCAGTTCTCCAACACGACAACGGGAATAGGTTTAGCTTGGCCAGTCGAGCATCATACAGAGCTTCGCTATTCCGGGAATCAGCTTGGTCTCTGTTCTCCGAACCTTTTCCAAAAGCTCACTGTCTTTTTTTAGGAGGGGCTAGCCGCTTGCATCCAGTACTCAAGTTTAGTACGCACGAACACTGTATACAAAGTCAAAAACATTTTAACGTTGACGTAACTAAAGGCCCTACGTATTGACTATTAAGTTCTAAAAGCTTTGGTGGCTATTGCACGGCAGTGTTCAGTAGTCTTTAAGTCTTGGCTAACAATAATTCTTAAGTCATTGTGTGTCTGGACAACACGTAGCTCAGTGTTTTATCATTCCTTTTATTAAAACGTTTAAATTGAAAACTTATATTAAATTCATTCAATTAAGTCTCGCTACAAACGATGTAAACATAATGTGAATGTTCCTTCAATTATGAAAAAAACAACTTGTCAAGATAACCAACTGTAGTGAACAAGAACACTGGTGGGGACAATCGAATGTATTTGACACGAAATTACAAAGCATCTCAATAAAATCTGAGAACCATATAGTAAATAGTTAATTTACAACATATCAATTCATCGTCTCAAGCTTCACTGTTTCTTTTGTAAATATCAGTCGATTGTCTCAGATTTCATTGTTCATACATTTTTGTACCAATTGCGTTACATTCCCGTTCTTTCCTAACCGATTTTCTACTAAAATACATTCTATGTTTGACCACCGTTAAATACTATTTATGTGGATATAAGTAACCCACACTACACTACTACAGATTATAATTTCTACAAGATAAAATCAAACATTCATACTCATAAATCTATACTAGTTATTTTTTCATTATTATTACTAATAATCGTATTATCCAGTATAACAGTTTTATCCCTGTATATTCTCTTAATAATAGCCATCTGGATATATAAAACAAATTGTATGGCAAAGTGCTAAAGTTAATGAGATAAACGAAAGAGAAATATTTAAGATGAAATCATTTGAAAATATTGATTGTATCGAGTCTAAGAATTATTCAAAATGTAAAATAGATAATATTTTTATGCAATTAGGATGGTCATATTTGTTAGTTGGTATAAGAGGTGGATTGTGGCAAACAATGAAACAATCAGTTTATTATACTAAAAGAACTATTTCATTTGATACAACAGTTTTAGGAAGGTAAGCAAAATATTAATGCATTTTTTAATTTATTTCAACCATAGTAATACTTTCAGTGTTATATATATTACTTACGTCTGTTACCCACTTCATGAAGAAGCATAAGCCGCCGACCATCATTCTCTATTCAACTGTGTCATGGGCAATACTTTTCATGTCTGCTTCCAATTCACGACATAGTTTGTTCTTTGGTCTTCCACTTTTCCTCTTCTCTTCATGATTACAAGCTATGGCTTGCCTCGTGATGTAGTTTGATGATTTTCATAATGTATATTCTATCCACCTCCAACGTCTTTACCTGATTTCCTCTTCGACTGGAAGCTGGTATATTCTCTGTCACAGTGGGTTGTTGCTGATGGTATTTAGTCAACGGTCAATGAGTATCTTGCTTAGAAAATTGTTTATAAATAGTTGTACTTATATGATAATGATTTTAGTCGCTCTCCAAGTTTCAGTTCCGTACAGTAGAACTGTTCAGAAGTTTGTATTGAAGTTTCTTACTTTGATATTGGTTGACACTTGTTTTGAGTTCTATATGTTCTTCAGCTATATATATTGAAGAAATACTCTCTGAGAGCCTATTTGTGTTACATATCCATGTTTCAGCTTAACATTTAGTCGAGGAATGTACATTTTAATGCTATTAACAGTCGAGTGAGATAAGTGACGACGCTTGGATGACAATGAGTTTAGATGTCTTTGCAGAGACCATTAACTATGTGTGACTCACTGAAAATGTTTACATAGTGCTTTGTTTTCTTAGGTCACTGTGAATATGATTGTAAGAGTGGTGTTTGTTGTTTTATTACATAGATAATTGTCAGATGATTCCATTCAAACATTCACCTTATTTTATTTTTAATATTTTCACGTTTCGCCTCAATTAATTAGTTCCTTTTACTATTTGAATCATTGTCTGAATTCCATACGATTTAGAGATTATTTTCATCTACATTTAACTAGTTTCTTTTTTAACCGTCATCTCAGAAATGTTTTTATTTGTAGATATTTGTTCGTTTTCAATGTCAGTTAGTTTGTTTCCATATTTTCTTGATTTTATATGTAATCTCTCAAAGATATTAATTTAGTTTTGTTCTGTGTTCGCATGAATGTTTACCTTAACTGTCTAAATTTCAATGCTGTTAGCTATCAGTGTGTCTTCCCTGTAATTAAAATGTTTCTAAATTACGACCACATTACATTCTACTTGTCTATAAACTGTCTATATCAATTAATTTACTTGATATAACTTTCCTACTCACAAGTAGGTTGTTTGTAGTTAAGTATTTGTGATAAAGTAATAAGATTTACTCAATGGTTCTATTAGTAATCCTTTAAACAATAACTACAAACTACTTCGTTACGAAAGTGTGAGGATATACTCACTTTTATTTGCATATGACTTACTTTTTTGAGTGCATGACACCTCAGGTCTCAATGATATCTGTTCGTTTGAAAAATAACTTGTCGTTTAGTGATGTTCAATAATCAATTTAGGGGTTGTGGAGATTGATAAGTTTTTGATTGAGATCATGAACCGATCAATGTTAGACCACCACCATTTGGAAGCACTGGACGGCCGTTTCGTCCTATTGTGGGACTCCTCAGCAATGAGCATCCACGATCCCGCTCGCGGGATTCGAACCCAGGGCCTCCAGTCTCGTGAGCCGGCATCCAATGGTGTTAATGTCTAACCTCAACCAATAAACTGGATGATCGGACTTATGATTTTATGTCTTGTCATTTTAATCTTTATGTTAACCATTTTGTTTGCTACCATTATGCTATACAAATAAAGATTTGTAATGATCGGAGCACGAAATTCAGATCGCAAAACAAATGATAAATTAGAGCATTTAATGACACAAATTGAATCATTAGCATATGCTCCACCCGGTGCAATACTGATTTGCTTACATGTAACGGCAAATAATTGGCAAATTATGGCTAACATTTATCCTGAAGAAAGATTAAATGAAGTTATTGAAAAACTAATACCAACTGGTTTTATTCCACTTGTTCAAGTAAGTAGAAAATTATTTTCTTAATTTAAATACCGTTAAAGTTTAACATTCAATTTTAGTACATTCACTTAGTAGTTGTAATTCAAAACAACAGTTTGCAATAGATAGTTAGTAAATAAATTTACTAAGATTAATAGTAGGAATCCCTGTTACTTTGAGGATTTCAGTAATTTATATTCATCACGTTAATCTATTCGTCCAGGATTCCACTGCTAGCCACTATCCATCTTTGCTGATAATGCTTGTAAATTAAGGCAGTATCGAGGCAATACGCGCAGTATGTAAATATTTAGTAGCCTGTTGTGTTTGCTTGTGGTGGCGGGATCACCATTTTAGTGGCCCGTGATCTGACTCCAATTTGATCGTTGTGGAATTAAATATGCGCCTATCCTCGTATATGATCATTAACTTAAATCGCGTTAGTTAATAACGGAATTAAATAAGTCAACTAACGAGAATGGAGTTTTGAATGCATATATTTTGTATAATTGTTGATTAGACAGAACGAACGGAGAAACGATGCGAAGATGAGAAAGCGAAGCTAAGTTGGCGCGTGTAGATGGCTGGTAAGCCAACTCTCCCTTTAACAAAGAGTTAATCAATATTTATAAGCCCACAAAAATAAATTACAGACATGTGATGAGTAACGGGATAAGAAGTGTGCATACGCCTACGCGCTCATACAAAGACAGTCAAGACATTGATAAGCGAATAATTAACAAGGTCAGAATGTGACTCAAATAGAATGAATAGAATGAGCTGTCCGAAAGTTAGAATAATAAGGTATTTGGGCTTAACATAATGACAGATACTACAAATATGCCAATAACAGGCTGATCAATTGCAGTCCTAAACATCAAGGAGAAGATCCAAGTAAAACAATACCAAGTGAAATAAACTTCACCTCATTGCACAAGCAAGTTGCCATCAGGACTCAGTAGCTAAGTGGATAACACGATGGCATTTGAAGCGGACGGTACTGGGTTTGAGTCCCAAATAAGACAAAACGCGCGTCCGGGATTCCACTGCTAGCCACTATCAATCTTTGCTTATTATGCAGAAGAAATTCAAGAACTCATTTAGCTCACTTAGTTATAACTTTATATTAGAAATAAAGTAATCAAAAGTAATAAATTCAGCCTAATGAGTGACATACTAAATAAAAATAGTTTTGGGCTGAAAGTAAAGCTTACATAAGAGGTGTTATTAGGTAGGCCGTAACTGTACGAAGCTAGCTTACTTTCTCCTTATAAATTTATGCCAAAAAGGAGCTTAACTTTAATAATTACATAAGCACTAAAATTATTCGATGTCTGCCTACTATATAGCATAATTTTGGCAAAAAACCATTTCTCTTTAATAATATGGGAATTATTAGAATTTCAGTTTTAATCCATAGCTCTAAGTGATTAAGTCGATAAATGGACTTACTTAAAGCTAATAATGTTATATTCGGACGATGAATAAATCAATGGTAACCGCTAGGAATTATATATCGATTATTATTATATATATTCCGATTGGATAACTATTAAGCAATTAGACTATATTTATATTCAGATTCCTTTTATTATAAATTTTCATTTGACATATTATTTACTATTATACGATTTACTAATCTCAAGTTATTCCCAATCGATTGGTTCCAGTCTCTCACACTCACTGCCACTTTTTGGACTGATCTGGTATAATTGTTTCATGGTGTGATGCGATCTGGTTCGCTTGTATATAAACTACATGTGTGTGAAATATATTATTCATACAGTGGAGTTTGAGATTGCATTCTGGACTACACAGGCAGGGTTAGACGAGAAACTTCTATACAGAAGACTACTAAGGACTAAGAGTTGACTCAAGGCTGTTCGTACTGGTTAACGCATCATTAGCTTAGCACAGGGACAAGGTCATATAAGTCGGTGTTCTGACTAGAGATTTTGTCACGCGATAAGCGACAGGAGCGAAGTCATAATGAATAAGACACTAAAGGGATGAACTATTAGTTAAAAAGCAATATAGTTTATGTCTTACCAAACGCTGGATTCTAGCACAAACTGAATTATAACTGAAGGCCAGGGAGCTCTGGATAGCTGTCTCTTTCAAAATTTAAACTTTTCAGAAGTGCATATAAATGACTCTGTAAAAGGCTTAATTCTAAACATTCATATATATCGACGATTGCGTTAATTTTAAACCATTAAATTGTGACATACATTAGTGACTAACTTCAAAATATATTCACAAAGATATACTAAGGATTTGTGATCGTTCGAGTTCAATGAAATCAACCAAATAATTCAGCACTTACCAGACGTTTTCAACTATTAAAAATAAGTAAGAATTTAAACTTTGTTAATAGCCAATTTGTAAATACCACCTTGTAAATGATAATTCAATTCTTATTACATTGAATTCATTCTTGATCTAGAGTATCTTTTAAACGGTAAGTTATCATTTACTTAAACAGCTGAATTTTTGAATTTGTACACCATATACTGTTAGATTGTAGACTTAAGAAAATGAATTCACTGAAATAGTTCTTTAAATCAATTATTTTATATTTCCCTTTTTAAAAAAAATGGTTTAATAGTCATTGTGATTAATCAATATTTTGCATTCATAAGTTTTTTTGGTGAACATGAACAAAAAAGAAAAAGAGATAAATTTTCGAAGGGAAAATAGTTCTATTTTTTATTGTATGGTCAGTTTTCAACTGTAAAAATTCAAGATAAGTTGCAAATTATCATAGATATTTTTGAAGCAGCCACCAGTGGAATTCAGCCAGGTCTGTTATGAGATAGCAACTCACTGAAGAAAATGGTAGACAGTGGGGTAATTTCGAGGATTAGTTGAAGTTAGATAGTAACACAGCTGAATGTCGGCTCAGTGGTCTAGAGGTTAAGTGTTCGCGCGCGACACCGAAAGGTTCTGGGTTAGAATCTTGCGAGGCGGGATCGTGGGTGAGCACTGCTGAGGAGTCCTATACCAGAATGAAACGGCCTTCCAATGCTTCCATGTTTTCCATGATGGTCTAGCTTCAATTGACTCATGAATTCAACTATAAAATTATGATTTAAATATTTTCATTTTTTTGTATTAATTAATTTCCATCTTTAGGGTATTCAAAATATTGTTATATATTTAGTAATGATACTGATTAACTGAAGCTTTAATCTGTATAAAAGTGGTAGGAATCCATGAAATGAATTAATTTAATTCAACGAATCTATTTATTCTTGTCATGTTCAAATCAGTATTTTGTTACAGAATCCATTAAATTATGTACTGAAAATCTTTATTCAACATACTTGAGGAGGATACAAACTTTTGAAACATCATCTGACTACATACTGTTATTTAGAAATTTACTTAAACCTAATAACTTTAAAAAACGTTCATGTTTCTCAGTAGTGCAAGCACAAATGAAATAGTTTTCCAGTCCTGCTGGTTTTACAGAAACTTCATAATTCAAATAAATAAACAAGACTTAAAATAACCTTCATAAATCACAGTCCTAAAAGTTTTTATTATCATCTGACGTTATTAATTATCATAATTTATAATTTCTGACTGTATACTAGTAATTTACTTCTAAACTATTCTGAGTGTTCAAATACATTACTGAAAATTAAGACGTTTGAATTGCTTTGTTATGACAACTTATTATCAGTTCATTTCAGTTCATATATATATATATATATATATATATATATATATATATATATATATATATATATATATATATATATATATATATATATATATATATATCTTTTAAAGTTTAGTACTGGAGTAGTCAGGAAAGCAATCGGATTAAATAATGCAATCTTACAAACAATAGAATGTAATCGAATTGTTAAAAATGAAGTAAGTTTATTAATTATCTCTGTATATAATTAAAATTTCCCTTGTTATAACGATATAAATTATTTAATAAGGGAAAATAAATAATTTAAAAGTTCAAGATCAACTGTGAAATAAAAGTTATAAAGAGATCTAGACTATAAAATGGACTATAAGCCAATGAACTACTGAACTAAGTCAACCCACTCAACTTTTGATCAATATTTCGTGAGAAAAAGTAAAGTGTATTTAAGTTTTATACCATTCTGTGATGAAAACTAATGATCAGTTATAGTATGGTGTGTGCTACTGATGTCGATAGATAGAAGTAGTATGTATCATCAACCGAAAATGAAATATCTGGCGGTAAAAGGTTAAGAAGATCGAAGAAAAGTGAATAAGAACAGAGAATGATTGATGTAGAAACGTAGGAACAATGAAGTCTGAGACGATTAACAGATATCTTGTAAATGAAGTATTTATTGCATGGTTCTCAGATTTAATAAGATATTCTGTAATGTTATATTAAAATACCTTCGATTGTACCCACTTGTATTCTCATTCACCACATTATGGTGTCGCTGCCAACCAGGAAGTGGGGAAGGCGCTGTACTGCGGACACTATTGCGGGCCTGGAGCTGAGGTTCTAGTAGGTTCAATAGTTTTAAATAAAAGAAAAGTTTTTATAAACTTTGTCTATGAGTCCATGTATGGTGTGTGCTACATATGTAGACACAAGTAATATATGATGTTAGCCGTAAACAGAATGTTTCTTAAAGTTTTTTATCATGTAAACTATGTATTAACATTTATTAATGACCTCTTACGATATGTATTGTATATGAGTAAAAATAAATATTAAGTATTAATACAAACAATCCAACTATATTTTAATCGATCTATTTATTCTCTTTTAAAAAAACAACTGAGTTTTATTATTCTTATAAATTTGTCCATTGACTTGTTTGGTTCATTTTTTTTGTTTTTTTTTCTTTACTTAAACATTCATAGAAAGTAAATAAAATACAATATTATCGTGTAACTGGATATGATATTAATCATATATTAATGTTGAATGGTTTATGTTTAGAATTACGTTTTAATGGTGATATACAAATAAAACCAACTAGTCAATTTGATCCATATACAAAATGTATTCGTAGTAAAGAAAAAGAACTATTGATCAATAATTTCACATCATCTGAAATGATTACATTAGAAGAAAATGAAACATTTAAATTATCAGATATTAATTTTGACCTTGATATTAGGTTGAATAAACAAACTGATCAATTGAAAAATGAAATAAAACTGGAAAAATTGTCACATACAGAATTATTAAGTAGACATGCAAGAATACAGTTACATGAATTACTGTCAGATACATCATGTATTGTTGAAATTGAACCAATGGAATCCTTGGAAGAAAAATATTCTGAACGCAATTCTATAAAGTTGGTTGACAATATTTTGTTATTGTAAAAGTATATGTTTGTTTATTTATTTGTATAACAGTCTATGAGTTTTTGTATTATCCAAAAATAGATAGAGAATTGAAAGTGAAAAAACCGAAACATGGATGCTATATATATAAGGACTCATATCTGTTTCATCCACTACGTATTGATAGACAGTGAAAATATTCCCAATATTATTTGTTATGGTTAGTTATGGCAAGGTACTCATTCCTTGACTTCTTTAAGTAGTATGGATTCCTAAACATTTGTAAAATTTGTTGAATAATTCTAAGTTTGTTTGATATTGGTTTAACGAATAACATTAATACTAATCAATAACATTAAGTTACATATACACCATCTACGAACTTGGATTAGTTTTATTCTTAATCTGTTTTTTTTTCTCCATTTTAACGAAAGAATATGATGAAAAAAGTCATTTTTGTACAATAGGTTTAGTTCTCATCGGTAGTTCTTCGAATAATTTCAACTTTTAATGACATATTCCATTAATAATGAATATCAGAGATTGTATAACTTAAACTGAAATCAGATAGAATTATCAGGCATAACTCATCGTAATCTTGCCTAATGCATACAAAATTCATATATCCAAAAAGAAATCTACTTTATTAACAATCCCAGTCATATAAAAACAATTTTCATCCCATTATAAAATATTTATTTAAACTAAAACATCTACTGAGATGATGGAGAAGATTTGTAGCTCAGGTGGATGATTTTGATGGAGTTTTGTTCTCTGAGCTGGATAGTTTAGTTGTGGAGCTTTCATCATCAGCACAAACTTCAGGTAGAAGTGAAGTGTTCGAGTTTCTCCACATGTGGTCCACAGCTTATCCTGTACACCTCGTTGTTGATTGATTCTTGTTGACCTTAAATCTGTTATCTCCCATTGAGAGATACAACCAAAACAAAGAAGTAAACAATGATAGATTTAAGGTCAACAAGAGCCAATCAACATCGAGGTGTACAGGACAAGCTGTGGACCACATGTGGCGAAACTCGAACACTTCACTTCTACCTGAAGTTTGTGCTCATGATGAAAGCTCCACAACTAAACTATCCAGCTCAGAGAACAAAACCCCATTTAAAACAGCTACTATTACAAATCAACATTCCGAGTAGTCAGGACTTGTTTTTGTCTAAATGTAAGAACTTAAGAAATTGCAGTTAATAACTGACAAATTAAGTAATTCAGAAACATTGAAATTCTCAAACAGAGGAATGTCAAGTTATTTGATAATTATACTGAATGTCCGAAAATTTAAAAAAAAAATAGATGCTCAAAGTATTTATGAATAATTCAAAATTATTGAAAGGTAAGTATACCATAGGTTTTCAGTGATAACAAGAATTTCAATTCATTCATAAAAACACATGCCGAACTAGATCAAAATTTTAATACAATCGAAACGTAAAGAAAAAAATGAATCCATAGAAATCTACCAACTGGATTTATACTCAAAAACGTGTCAACCTGTAAGCAAACATGGATAGTGGCTAGCAGTCGAATCCAAGATACACGTTTAATCTTATTTGGGACTCATGAACTAGATATACCTGTATCACCTAGTCGATGTAAACTCACAGTTTAGGTGGATACATGCAAAATGTTGTCAACTACAAGCCTTTAAATTATCACTAATAATTCCATTGTGTAATAATGTAAAAAAAATCGACATTACAATTTACCAATCGGTATACGTATTCTTATATTATAAAATCTGATAGAAAATTTGTAGGCAAAGTGAACATACAGTCCTAGTCATCAAAAGGATTCATCATCACAAATTTAAAAAAAAGTGGAAATGTATAGTTTTATTTACCTAAATAGAACACTATTTTTATATAGATATATCACTCTGTCATTGTATCGGTGATTTTTGTAAAGTCTCTTATGCACAGAATACATAAATGTTTACTGAATTCTTATAAAAATTCTTTCAGCTCTATTTCATTTGTTTTATTGTCTTAAATAAATTAGTGTCAGTTGTTTTGATAAAGATTATAGAAGTTATTTTCACTCAAATAAATCTAGTGTAATAGAAGAGCAGAGTCTCGAGAACACCCGATGATCCCGTTGACGACTTGAAGTTTCAAAATTTATTCATTGATTCAAGTGAAATAAATTTCTTTCTTTCATCTTCACGATACATATATTACAACAGAGAAAATTCTATTTCATATAATCACCAATGTTTAAATGCTATCAGAGTAAATACATGCCTACAAATTAGGTCTAACAGATTTTCAAAATGTCATTCACTTGGACTGAGTGAAACTCATTATTTATTGACTTAATGCAGTCACAGACAACACTTGTTAAGATACCTTCAAATGAACGGACATCTGCACACCAATCACATCCTATTAATACAAAGTCGAATATAGTTCAGAAGGAAGAGGGAATTTTAAACAAAAATCTCATCTCATGCAACAATGAAATGCTCAAAACCAGTGTTATGCCAAATTCGATGGAGAGTTTTGAAGTTACCTCCATTAGTTATGGCGTTGCAGTCAAGATTTCTAGGGGATTCTCCAACTTCAAACTCAGAACCTCGAACTTCAGCCGAGTCTACCGTACATACACCAGATCTATCCGAACAAGCCATGCACCAATTAATATCACGAGAACCAATGACGATTTCAGTTAGGAATCAAAGCATTTCAGACGTTTACATAAATATGGCAAGAAGTTATAAAAATTGGCTAGTTCTTGTGGACCAATTTTCATGAGTAATAAACGAAATTTCGTGTGTAGTTAATCAACTTAAAACATGTTTCAGTTTTTCCTAAACCATGTACCAAAATTGAAATTTGACTCAGTATCACAAATAACTTCAGTTACATTGTGAAAAATATTTTCTACTGAAAGTGAAACACTTAGGGTGGGGATAGGTATTATTTCGGAAACCATCCTGGAGTCCGTAAATAGCTGCATTAAATTAAGTTGCTGCTCCACCACGAAATCTATTTTAGTAGAATTCTTTTTCCAAAAAAACGTAACTAATTGTTATAGCCCAGAATAGGAGGTGATAACTGCAAAGACAACTGCGATACAGTATACAGAAGCTCAATTTTCTTCTAGCCACAACTACCCCAAAACACGAATCATGTTGATTAGTGTGCTACAAAAGACCGAAGGAGATTAAAAACTATATTCTAGTTGATTTAACTGTATTTCAACTAAATGATAATCAATTAGAAATCTTCACCAAATAAGTAACTATTAATGAGCATAAAATTGTAGTGATATCATCAATAGAGGAACAGTTTACTGAGAATCCAATTACTAACCACAACTAAGATATACCGAAAGTTAATAAATAGAATTTACTCTGAATGATGAAATACGTTAAAATGATTGAAAGGAAACTAACTTAAATCAATATGTAAAATAAGGTTGGTTTTCTTACTTACACATTGTATTTGGGAATCTGGAATTCTCAACATATCCTCTTATTAATAACGTGCTCCTCTTGAGTTCATTTAGAATTGAACACCCTGCCGCCGTTGTTTGCAAATTGACTTGTTCTAGAGGTGCAACCCTTGTTCCTTCTTGCGTGTCAGTCGAGGGCTGCAGTAAGCTGGTGTCTATTGGCATTTCTCGTGTCAAGTTGCCTGTTGCTGTCAGACGTTTTGTTGATACACGTCTTCGTAACTAAATGAGATGTCGCATCCATTAATCTTTTCCAACCTCCACCTCATAGATTACTTGCCCTAGTATTTTTACAACACACACCTCTATCAACGTATCATATCTTGGTCTGTAACCCTGAACGAACAAATCGTTATGAAGAAGTGAATATTTGGATAATTGTAACTTGTGGAACTATTTTACAGACTATTATTGTTTACATTTTCACTGTATAATTACTAGATAATAGGATTATCGCATTTCTATATTCTCTGTACTGTGAATTTCCATAAGGCCTACTAATTTTAATTATTACCAATAAACTATATGCTGTTTATTTATTCTCTGTCACTTGTGGCATGATCGTATGCAAAGTATTTCTTTTTTGGAATTCGTTGCCGTCTGATAACTAATGTTCATTAACCAATGTGTGTTCAAAATAAATATATTGGGTGGTTGAAATATAAATAATAGAACATTGTCTGTTGTATTTTATCATCGAATTCAGAACTGGGTATGGAAGTCGTGCATATAAGTGGATCGATAGAAGTTAGGATCATCTCAACTTCAGTTCAAGTTTAGTTTTGTTAACTCTAAGGTATCATCGATCAAAGTCTAGGACACTAAGCTAAGGACGAAAAATTACACACAAGGTAGAGGAAATGTAAACAGGATTGTGGCTGGTGGATATTTAGACTTGATAAAATGCTCACTCGCGGCATGCAGGAGATCCAACTTCCAATACCGAGGCTTCTGGTGTTACTATTTTTTCACAGGTAATGCTTTTCGGTAATATCAGATGGTGGATTGTTCTCATCCCTCAACCTATAAGGATTCCCAATTATTATTCCCGATTTGGTAATTAGTCATTTGATCTAGTGTGATACATAAATCAAAAGCCGTGCAATATATTGACGGGCCCCCCCCCTGATCTTAACAACACTCTTTAAAAGATGTCCGAAAAAACTGCTGTTTGTTCACTTGACTGGAGATAGTGTAGCACTGCGATTATATGTATGAGTTGTCGGGGGCAGAATTCGCGAAAATGCCCAGAGGCAATAGAGAATCCTTTACCTGACGCTTAAGTATATACAGTTAGTACTCATAATTATTCAGTTCGAGTGAATCTGAGATCGAAAGGTTAATTAGCATGGTTACATAGTTGGAAAATATGTAAGTCGAACGTTAGGACAGGCAGCCTTATTCACTCAACATTGCATTCGAATTTTTTACCATCAAAAGGCATCTAATATTTCTTCTTGTCAATAATGAATGAAAAACACATTTAAAAATCATGTTTTTTTAGAATCTTTGTATAGACAGTGATGTGAAAATAAGCTATTGCTAAATACTATAAGATCTGCGATATATATATATATGGTTTTTAAAACTTACTGGCATATATCTAATCAATGAGTGTTCTTACCCCTCAGATTACAGTACCTATCGGAATTGTTAAATAAACCTACTCCTCAGGATCCAGCTTACCAGAATGAAGATGAACTCAATGACAACATTGATGAATTTATGGAAGATTCTATCTCAGGAAATGAAGAGACAATGAAAACACCCGAAAATAGTAAAAGGTTGGATGTTATAACTACAGAAAATAAATCAGTAAAAAACCAGCCATCTTCACCAACAATCATTAATGAAGATTTATTTAATCGTTTCGAAACTATGATAGAAAATAGTGAAATAAGTAGTAAGAATATGATTATAAACATAGCTTTTTCATATCGGTTCTATCACTGTTAATGAAAAAACCACCTATATGCAGTTGTAAAAATACTTAACGGATGTGGCCCCTTGTTCTAACTCCAGTTATATCGCATGATTATCGTTATTGAAATATACATATGGTCAATTCTCGTATAAGATTATCAACTTAACTCGCGTTGGTGAATAGCGCAATTAAATAAGTCAAATAAGCGAATGGATGTTTGAATACGTAATTTTGTACACTCGTTGATCAGAAGGGTCAATCGGAGAATCGCAGCGAATGAAGCAAAGAAGAGAGAGTAAAATGAAACAAAATGACGCGCGGTGGATTTGGTTCAACCGCGTTCTCCACCGTGCGTCATTTCGCTTCTCTCTCTTCTATTCGCCTCATCCCTCTCATTTCCTGTCCAGATCGGTGAGTGTACAAGATTTATGTATTCAAAAATCGATTCTAGTATTCGACTTATTGAATTCCATTATTCACCAACGCGATTTAAGTTGATGATTATATACGAGGATAGCCGACAGGTGTATTTCGATGATAATCAGCATACAATCCAATTAAAGTCAGATTTCGGACCACTAAACGGGTCTAGTAAAGTCAAAGTATAGTTAACGAAGTTTATGTTATTATTTGTCAAAGTATCTCGTCACTGAGTTCAAGGTCTAGCTGATCAAGGTTATGTTATATAATCCAATAAGGAATTAGGTTCATATATTTAATCTATATCGTTGTAGATGAAGCATATTAGATAGTAATTGAATGTTTTTAATGTGTCTCTCTCAATGAATATTAGCAAGATAAAAATCATTTGTTTGAATCTCTTTCAGTTGTGTGTCACAGATTTAGTAAATACTGTAGTTCAGAAACATATCTTTCAATTGAAGTATGATTAAAAGTAAATATATTAAATATGAAGAATCTTTGAAGTTATATCGACGGTTCAGTCGGTTTATTTTGCTTTTTGTTAATTACTGAATTTATATTTCAAATTGGGCATCTGAAGACAAGTAATAACTCCTTTGAATCCATTCACATTTAATTAGTAAAAGATTACATAGGTTATTTGACTGTGACTAATTTGCATATATGAACGACTAATAAAATAGTTTATTGTAGATGCAATAGATTAACAAACCATCCTTAAATCCCAATATTGAAAGCAAAGGAGCTCAAGGTCCTACGTAACCTTCAATGACGGAGGTGGGACGTATGAATTTATACTTATTAATTCCCTATCACGTTGTACGTACACTTAATTCAAATTATAAAATGCAGTTAATTTGATTATAACCCGATACTCCAGTAGCATCCTGATTGCTACAATCCGATATTCAACCTGATATAGGACTGAGAATTAATATGTAGGAGCCGTTTCAAGATAGAATACAGATGTATACTACACTCTCAAGCTCTTATTACATTTATGGTTAAATTCTACCCAGGATAACATATATATGTTGAATTGATTAAATCTATGTTAGTTAAATATCGAATATTGTATTGTGTATGTCCTGTACTATTTTTTTGATAGGGTCTAGTGAGTTTATAATGAAAATATATGAATTATATCATGTTGGAACTGTTGAAGTTTGGCTAGTCCCACCATATGATATGCCACAACTTGAAGTTAAAGGAGACAACGAGCCACACGAGAAGCGACCAGAAACGCAAAATCATAGTGGTGTATCTGCTTACAAACCGGACTTAAGAAGTGTTAGCAATTATGAAAACGTTAGACCGCATACAAATAAGGGATTCAGACCACCTACATCACCGATAGCTCGACCCAAATCTTCATTTCCTCAAATACGACAACACAAAGCTTTTCCAGATGACACTGTTTGGTCATATCAGAATCAAAAGTTGCATAATGTATTTCGTTTAAATACTGTTTGTGGTATAGAAATAGCTAAAGAAAAATCTCCATCTGGTGTGATAATGGAAGATTTCCCCTCAGATTTAAAATCACCTTTGGCTACCTATGATGTGAGTTTCAATAAAATTGAATATGATTATTCTGAAAGAAATGGCATTCTTGAAAGTATTGTTTAAAACTGCTCATATTTTGTAATGAAATGGATTGAAAAATTATGAATATGATTTCTTATAGTAATTCCTCGACTGATGCCACATATATGGACGTTTGCTGTATTGAATTTCGCTCTTTTAGTATACTACTATGTACTATCTTTCGTGCAGTTTAATTTACTAAGTACGTTAAACTTGAAGAATTGTAAAGACAAGCTACCTGTAGGACGCTTGAAAATGTCTTCTCATACATAATAATAAAGTCTGACCAAAATTTAAGCACAAAAAATATAGTACAATTCTTCAAAGTAATTTAAAGAATCTTCAGTTCAGATAGTATAAAATACTATTAAGAAGAAATCTTTATAAGAAGTGAGTAAGTCACCAATAATAAGGCTAATTATCAAAGTTCAAGGGTGAGCAAATCTTTTGGTTTTGTGTACACACTTTCCAAAACTGTAAATACTTCAAACAAATCTGTTAGAAACTAGATGCGATTTCCATTTCTACATGAATAAATATATTCATGTATATTATTATCGTTCTAGTGACTGAATCGCATTTATGTGGCAAAGTAAATATGTGGACAGAATACCACATGAGTATAATTGGAGGTGATTGAAAGTGAATAGAACTTTACCTATCTGAAGTGACATATTAGCTATAATAATGTGATCACTGAAGAAATCTCGATAAGAATACAGAAAGCTGCTTTAAAATTTTCCAGACTAACTCATTACTAAATTAGAATGAAATACGCGAGCACTTATTAAAGCCAGGTGTAGGAAATAGTAATCCTCTCTGTATTACTCTGACTGTGTGACTTTCTTTAAAAAGGAAAAATGTTTACCGATAACAGGCAGTTGATCCCATGTTTCATCAAAAAATTGTTTACGCGTAATAGAATAGCAAAATGGGTCATAATGAAGTAATTTGTTTAGTTTTCGGTACCAAGAATAGATTGATTAACGAATTTTTAGACCTATACAAACTACCATGACAGAATTACATGTTACGTTTCCCAAGCCAGTGCCTATTCACAGGTAGGATGTTGAGAAAAGTGGAATAGGGTTAAAAAAACACAATATTAGCTGATGAAAGCAATGACAGTCGGTTTGAATCATGCATAATTAGGTGAACATTTTTAGTTGAAGTTTTTAGGATGGTGTAAAAAGGTGATCGGAAATAAAAGTTCCTGTGACATAGAATCAGTTACAAAGATAATTATGCAATCGATTTCCATATTTTTGTAAACGTTGAACTTTTTACTACTTGTTAGTTACAATTTTTCGTTATCGACCTACATCACTGTTGTCTTTAATATCTTCACAGCTTTCTTCTTCCATAAGTTTTGCAAAATATGGCAAATTACACTGCTTTACTATTGCGTCGAGTAATGATCAGCCTATCTGGCTATAAAAATGATGACTAAAATTATGTTCACATATAGAAAAATCCACATTTCATGAAGATATTCATTATCTAGATACAAAAAAATGATGCAACTATGTTTAAATACATGTGAATGTTCTAATCTGATTATTCAGTCATAATTCATTTACCAACGAGCACAGTCAAGGTTATCAGTGAATCTACAGGAGGGAAACTTCATCAACTTCTCAACATCTAGTAAAATGATCATGAATAAATTTTATTTATTTAAAAGTAAGGTATCAGCTATTTAATCATTTAACTAAATTAATTCTATAAGAAGTAACTCAAGATAAATAAAAAATAACAATTCAGTAAGTGAATAAATCAGTAAAGTAATTCATATGAAGTTACATAGAAAATGATACGTAGGTCTGATCTAAAAGAAATTTATTTAAATAACCTTTTATTTTCTAACTTATTTTTCAGATTATGATTGATCCTGATATCGTTTCTAATTATTTAAAGGTAATGTCATTCAAATCAAAAAGACTAAATAATACTGAAATGACAAATGATTATTTAGAAAAATCTGCAAGAATTAATTCTATTATAATGCCAAAAGAAATCAACAGAAGTCAACGTGGTCTAAATTCAAGTGTTGAAAGAAAATTATTGAATTCACCATCTAAAAATCGTGGTATTATTAGTGCCAGGTCTTTAAATACAAGTGCTTTAAGTAAGTTGTTTATTGAAAATCAAGTAGACCGCAGTTACAAAATAGTTTAAAAGTAGTAAGTTTGGAATATTTATCTATGATTTCATATTATACTCTGAGTTTAGCCAAAAAAATAATGTATTTAATACAAGAACATGCATTTTTGTAGAACAGATTCTATCATTTTTCTTTCCATCACTTATCAACAACAACTAGTTTCGAGTGGTCAACCTGGTTTCTTTTATCGAATGTGTAAAAGCATCAAATGTTAACTAAGTCTCCATTCTAATTCAGTAATCTGACATTTTAATCTTATCATTGCCACTGGAATGATAGATAGAATTCATTGAAAGAGGTTGATACTTGAAAAAAGTACATTTTCAACACTAATAGGCACAAGGAACAAACGTCGAATTTCCGACGAGTGGAATAAGTAGTCTACATAACCCAGTTTAAATGTGTTTTTTTATTCATGAACCGAAGATATTTTCCTCTAATGTGTGAATTTAATAAAAAACATTCTCAATAACACTTCGTGTTTAGCTCCTTTGAACAATGAAAATTATCTGTGAAATAATTAAAGTAATTGGGTCTTTTCAAAATATACGAATATTTTTCGTCTATATATTCCCTACACTAACTTTAATTCGATCATAAAAAGAAGAAAGAAAACTTTTTTGTTTATATAGAACGATAGTTAATAGATTTAATGAGCCTCCCCGTTCTAAGCGATGGCGACACGTATAGTTGGAATTTAAGAAATAAAGGGGAATTTTTCACTTAACAGTTTAACCACCCAGCTTTTAACCAATCACATATACCTACAAAGGCCGTCCCATTTGCTACCGTTTGGATCACCTGGAAGTATCATTATCCCTTACACTTTGTGACTTCAAGCCCAATATATAAACATGTACTTGTTAAATAAACTAGATTTACTATTCATTTTTGACGCCTTTAAAACAGTGAGAATCATTTTGTTTCTGCTTTAAAATATTTTTTTCCAAGGGAAAGACTATCTTTATAATAACCATTGAATGAAGACTTAAGATTTAAAATCTAGTGCACCAACTAGTTCCAAAATGAGTAAAACATGTATGCTTAAGAATTAAATCCAATCAAACTACACATGTGAGCTGTAAATCACGTTCACCTTTATATTATTTTCGTACATTCAAATTATCACGTTGTATACAGATTAATGAGCATTGAAATAAACTATTAAGGATATATCTAGATGGATTATAAACACTCGATGTTTTAATACAATTCAGTCATGATTATTTTATCGACAAATGAAAGGTTGATAGCACATATATAAACCAATAGACTAACTTTTGGTTGTTAGGACGATGCTAAAAATATTCTTAGTAAATTGAATAAATAGAATTAAGAAAGAATAAAAGCAGAAAGTGAAATATACCTACTTATACCACAACCTAAACTGAAGAAAAATAATGAATTTGTTTGACCAAAATCAACGGATTTCAATCCATATCATTTAATATCATCAACATAACCGACCATAGGTGCAACCCGTCTGTAATGGTTGAGCTTGCCTAACGTGATGACGCAGTCGAGTTCCATTGACTGAAACACTTGCTCCTTCAAGTCCTGAGATTCCAAATATGTTAGTTGGGGAACGTTAAAACCAAAAGCAGAAGGCTAAAGTCTAAGGGTGGAGTCATATAGATGACTGTACCAGATGGTGAGGGCAGTACTGTTTAGCTTGGAAAGCTAACGTCTGAGACGACGAAAGGAAGCAAAGAAACCCGGGCCTAAGATTAGCACACTACACCTTGCCGCCCGAACTCTCGTTGCTAAGGGTTCACGTCCTTAAAGTACGAAGCTAAGACATCAAGAACTACCCACAGAAAGACTGTATGACACTACGTATTCCCAGCCGCCGCCTGTTTCAACGCATAATGTTTATTTGTGAAGGAGTAAGTTGAATGAAAGCCAAGGAAGGAAAAACTAAAACGTAACATCAGTCCATGAAGTTTGTAACTGTTGGACTGAACCCTGTTAGCAGGTGCAGACTATCTGGTTGGTGTCTACACAATTTTTTCTACTTTTACTGCTCTGGCATTTGTCTGAATACTTTCAACTTGCTGCACTGATATGGTATGACGAGTTACACTGATCTACATATCCGCCATGTCCTAGGTTGTTTATGATTGATTCTTGAAGCGTAGATTACGATTACTTTATGAAAGCTTATCAGGTATTATGAGCCTTCAGTGGTAACTTTATATATAATGTGAAGAATATTCTTCGTTCATATATTGATGTACTTATATGATGAAAATTTTTAAACGGCCAGAAATATTTGCCCAAATGCTTATAAGGTATGGCTAAATTATTTGAAATTTATCGCTTTGCTAAGAAACACTTTTCAAAAGACTGTATATTATAATTAAAGATATTACATTTTAAACATTCTCCACAGTACAGCTTTATTTATTATTGAAACTAGTAGTAATATTGTACATGTATAAAATATCCGTAAATAATTCTCTTCGTTTATTTCTTACAAAATATATTACATTAAAACAGAAAAGACAAATTGAATTCAGGAAGAGAAATTCAAACACAACCAATAACTAATAACAATGTATTTCATAGTGTTATTTATTGTTGAATACACTACCACTTCATGATACTAATTCTTAACTTGTGTAAAATAATATTTCGAGTACAGTAATAACTACTCGCGGATGAAGTAATATTAGTAGTGATATAATGTATCGCTTATAAAATATGTTACTTTTATTATGTAACGTTGAATATCGTTTAATTTAACTACTATGCCTGGGGTTATTTTCCGACGAGCGAACATATAGTCCTTCATAACCTTTTTAAATTATAGATAAAATAATGAGATAATAAAATAGTAGAACCGCTATTTATTTATCTGTTTATTTCTGTTATCGTGATGATTGTAAAAAATGAAATATTTTCAAAGAAATTCAATATTACACAGTAACTAATAGAAATGAAAATATAAAAAAAATGCGTGCACTGATCAAAAAGAAACTTATTAGCTTGTGAAGAACTGACCGACTCTGAAGTAATTCTCATCATGAACTGATATCATCTGGAGAATCATTAAGAATTATTGTACACTGGGTGGTTTTTCACCCTAGTTCTGGATTTCTTACGAATACACACCCACAGACCTTCAAAAAATGACTTCCAGGTCTCACAGTGAGCGTGATATATCTAGATTAAATTAACTATATTCCCAACGTCAATCGAATCAAATCATGGTTTAACCATTATTCAGTCCAGCTGGCAGATGGTCGCTATATTCCAGACTACCGTGTTTGAAATTATGATATAATCTGTAGTAATATGAAGCCAACTACTACAGATTTCCAGACTACATTGAGTGTGATTTTGGCTATTTTAATTAAGTAGAACGATTAGAACTTTCTTCGTGAGAATGATACCAAAAAGACAAGATAATCTACCTCGGATTAACTAAAATTGCTATTTAGGTAAATATGAACTCTGACCGCTCGACGGTCATGATAGTCATCAATTCCTTCTTAAAAGCATTTTTACCTATAATATCAGTCCTTGAAGGTTCTTACTAACAGCAGACTACGCACAAAAAGGTGTTCTAGTTGAGTGCTGAGAGAAATAAGAGCCATGGACAAGTATGAAACAGGTTATTCAGTGGGAAGGGTTAGTAATTAAATCACTATTTTGAGATCATCACAAGTGTTAAAAAGAGATAAGCTTCAGTTACGAAAATTATTGAGATGAGAACATAAAAAGCGTCTATCACTTTTTAATGGATATTTACCCAGAAATAATCTCAAACGATCGCCAAAATTGCGTCATATTCCATGGTAGCATTATAAGCTAGTCTTTCATACTATTCCTCGGTAATTTCTTATATGATACGGTAACATAAAGTCTTTAGGGTTTAAATTAACTCATTCACGAGGTGCTTTAGTATGGCTCATACTCTAAGTGAGGGCTAATGATAATGCTCAACTTCTCAAACCGCAGTAGAATGAAGTTCGGGCCTAGCGCTAAGTGAGCGAAGATCGAATGCCTTAAGCAGTAAGCTTTCGTTCTACTTTTTATGTGGTGCACTAGACTACTTCATTTACAAAGAAATTTCGCACTACATCGACGACTTTATGAAACATTCATAGTTTTCCAATTCAAATCAGTCCCAAAATGAGACTGAATTAATGTTGAATCACGTTACATTCTACATATATCATTTCATTAGACAAATAACTCAAGATCAAACTTCTTTGGTAAACAACCATCGAAAGTATTTTTCGAAGTCATCCTATCTTTACCTGTTTCTTAAGGGGTAAGACCAACTATCAGTCAGCCTCATTGATCTAAATAACAAAATATGACCCCCCTATTCATTCTACCAAAAGGCCAGAGTTAAGATTTAAAGTCACGTAGTATTTTAGCTCGTATTTAAGAAGTTGCATCGACATAGGTATTCAGTGATTTCTTCTTCCCCAGTCCACGCTAAAGACTTCATATAGAAGCTGTTTTGATGAAAAAGTAAGATAATAAATTCACATAGAAACAGCTGAAATAAATCATACAATACAAATCACGGAATGCCTGCTATTGTATCTGCATAATTTAAAACGACACTGAGATTATTACAAACTACAACTTCGAGGAACACCCGACTGCCCGTCTAAGTAACAATAAGTGAACTGAATCCCCCTCATGTTTAAAGACTCTTTACTTGCCTAGCGCTCAATACAACAATGACTTAGTCAATGATACCGGCTTACCACCAGTAAGTATGTAAATACTACTGTAAAGTTGGTGCTTAGCACAAAAATGAAGTTTGACCATTCGAACATAGGTTTCAGGATATGTGTAGCGAATTACGGACAAGAAGAAATTTCCCGGCAATGCTTTATCTAAGTCACGACACTAATCATAACTGAAGTTTTGCAAACCTCACGATATAAATTTCCTTATCGAAGACAATCTAAAATTAGGAAGGTGTAAAGAACAGTTGTCTGGTAT